GAAAACTAAGGACATGGTTAGCTTCAGGGCATTGATATCTAAATTTTTGCTTTAGAAAATAAATGCAAATGATGCTTGTACAGAGATTTCAAAGTTTAGAAAACTTACCTCAAAAGTGAGAATCGAGTTTGAAGTTAGAGCACTCCTGGAGGTGTTAGGATGACCTGGATAGCTTCCATGAACTCCCAGGAAGTTTTTATAATGCTTACCTTGGATTGAGAGTGCCTCAATTCTTCTGGACAAGGAAAGTTGCAGAGCTCTATTTTTGAATTTGGAAGATGATGAAGATTGTGTTATAGTGATGAAAAAGGTATTTGGATAAGTTCTATATGAGTTATAGAAACTTTGTAAATTATTTAGAGTGAAAACGCACGAGTGGATTGAGTGTTTGGTGTTCACGGTCAGAAGTTGCAATAAATGGAGTTTTTTGAGCAATTATGAGTTTGAGAGAATTTGAGAGGGTTAGAGGGATTTTCTAATCGTGTGTTATCTTGCAAATACTTCCTTTATTTATAGGCAAGATGTTTGATGGCCTGAAGTAACCAGAAATTCAAGATAGCATGTTATGGTTTTGAAGTAACTTGCAAAGGCATGATTCTAATGCAATGGTACAATGGCTCATAGGGTGGTTAGAAGTTGTAGACATGTTGATTCTTTCTTTGGCATTGTGAGTGTGCAGAAGGAACAGGTGAGAGGCTCGAGGAGAGTTGACAAAATTCATAAAGCATGCTTTATGTAAATGGCAATGGTACCTTTGTGCCATAAATGGAAAAATCATTTGGACAATGGATCAAACACTTGGATAATGATTCAATCAGTTGGGTAAACATTTAATATGGTGAGATTTGCAAGTTAGAATCATGTAAAGCAAGATTATGCAACATGGCTTGGAGATTTGATCTTATGTTCATCACAAAATGACTTATATTTCAAGAATGGATGCCTAACTTCATGCCTTCGAATCTCCTAGCTCAAACGTGATAAAATTGTGTTCATGGACATTTTTTAAAGCTTGAAACTTTGTCTACCACTTCCATGTTGTGAGTTTTGGCTAAATAAAATAAGAACTTGGTGAAAAATGGCCATAAAGTTGGGACAAAAATCTGATCAAAACTTGTAAAAAAATTACTAAGTGTTGGATAAAAATATCATAATTTCATGAGCTTATATCTCTTAATCCAAGCATTTTCTGACGATCATCCCATTAACAAAGTTGAAGAATTCATCAAGCCCTACAACTTTCATGTTGAAAGTTTTCCTTGAATCAACTTGCATATTGAGGAAACTTGCTTGTGAAGTTAGGGTTTTTATTAAGAACAAAACCACTTAGAATTTTTCTAAGTGTTAGAAAATTTTCCAAATTTGACTTTTGTTGAATTCTTGATTTCTTGATGATCAAGTTTGATAGTTTTGAATATATTTATGATTCTTGACTTTGAATTCCAATGTTTGACCAAAAAGTCAAAGTTTGACTTTTGAGTGACTGTTGACTTTTCATCAGTTGATTCAATTATTCAACTATCAATCACTTGCATCTTTGGAAATGTTTTGAGCCATGTAATTAGGTAAATATGTGGTATTTGAGCTATTGAGATCATGCTTCAAGCCATTAGGTCATGCACTAAGCCAAAAGTCAATGATCAGTCATCCTTAGTCAAAACCCTAATTTGGTAATTTTTTGACCTTTGATGATTTGAGGTCTTCCCTTGAGGAATCATGATCAACCCTTGATCAAATGATGAATATCACCTCAAAATGTTGATGTTGACCAAAAATCTTGAAGTTTGACTGTATGTTGACTATGGTTGACTTTTTACTCAATACAGTTGATTTTCAATTAATCTGAGCCATTGATTGAGCAAACATGTGATGCAAGACTTGAAACTTGACATAAGAATTATTGAGGACCTATGATGAACCATGAAAGTAATTTGAGGAATTATAAATCCAATTTCCTTTGATAAAACCAAAGCCTTAGTTATGGACTCATTGCTTAGGAGAAGAGTTTTGACCAGTCAACTCTTGAGTAGTCTTGAGCCAATGGGAACCTCATGAGAAGGTCTTGAAGAAAATGGGAGGGAAAATTTTGGGGTACAAAACTACCACTATTCGAATAGTCTCCAATCTGGCTACTGAAGCAAATACTTCAGAGTAGTCAAGTCCTTATCTTTGAATAAAATCTCGATCTACTAATCTAGTTTTATTTCTTGCTAACGACCGATCAACATTGTGTTTCAACTTGAACACCCATTTTAATTCAATAGCTTTTGTATATGTTGGAAATTCGACTAACTCCCATGTGTTGTTTCTTTCGATTGCATATAACTCTTCGATTATAGAAGACTTCCACAGTTTAATCTTCAAAGCCTCACTATAGCTGATTGGTTTAGCACCTGTAAGTAAAGCAAAATGGAATAGTTCTCCATCTAGTTATTTGAGGTCTTTGGCTTATACAAGACACACTCTCTTCGGCTCTGACTGTTTCGGGAGTATTAACAACTTCTTCGACTGGAATATTTATAATTTCTTCAGCTTTTACTGGGTGTCAGACAATTTTAAAGCACCATCTTTCATGACAACTGAGAAACCTTTTTCGACTAGTTGCCCAATACTTAATAGGTTGCACTTCATTCCAGGTACATAGAGTACATCTTTGATAATAACTTTCCCTCCATTACTCATTTGAAAAACTATGTTTTCAGTACCTTCTGCTTGAAATGAACTATTATCATCAAGTTTTACCTTGCTCTTCTTCGACTCGTCGAACTCTACTAGCCACTCCTTTCGACCAGTCATGTGATTCAAGCAGCTAGAGTCGAGGAACCAGTTCTTGGATTCAACATGGTTATCTGCAACTGCAACCATAACCATCATACCTTCAGAATCATCTAAATTTTGGCGTGCAAGGTTCACTCCTTCGTCCTTGCCTTTTGTCGATTCTTTGTCTTTCCTGTACCAATAATGCTTGGATAAGTGACTCCACTTTTCACAGTTATAGCACTGCACACTTTTTTTTCTCTTCTTTGTCTTTTTTATAGGAATTTCTTTCTCATGTTTTCGAGGATTCAGAAGCTCTGTCATTGACCTTACTCTTGTGGGGATTCGACCAAGACTTCTTTCCCTGAGTCTTATCGAATTTTCCTTTGAATTTGTTGGGACCATCATTTTTTCCATGACTCAGTCTGCAAAGCTTGTATTCAATCTTGAACTTCTTTCCTTTTGAAAATCCTAATCTCATGCGCTTCCAACGAACCAATCAAATTTTCCAGATTTAAGGTTTCAATTTGATTGGATTCTTGAATAGCTACGATAACGTGATCAAAGTGAGAGGTCAACATACACATTACCTTCTCAACTACCATATTATTAGTTAGGGTTTCACCACAATCCTTCATGAGATGGACGAGTTTATGTACCTTCGACACATACTCTACAATCTTTTTGTCTTCTCCTATCGATAATAATTCATATTATCGATGCAAGGTCTGCAACTTGACAACCTTGACTTTCTCACCTCTTTCATAGTACTTTATAAGAATATCACATGCCTCATTCGCCTATTTAGCATGAGAGATCATGTCGAAATTCGCCGCATCGACCGACGTTTGAATACAATACGCGGCCTTGCAATTTTTCTTCTTGTCTTTGTTGTAGGCGGTTTTCTGTGCGTCGGTTGCATCTGTGGCCAGCGCATAAACACCATTGGTAACTATTTCTAGGGTTTCATGAAAGCCAAACAGAGATTGCATCTGTTTTCTCCATCTAATTCAATTCTTGCCGTCAAGAATTAGAAGAGAATTCAGAATGTCGTTAGTACCATTCATCTTCACAGCGATTGATTGATAATAATCCACGATCTCAGAAATACGATCTCTGACGTGTGATTCTTGAAAGCACGATAAGAATCTAACCAAAGCTCTAGATACTAATTTGTCAGTGCGTGAGACACTTTTAGTGAGGAGAGAAAGAGATAGAATAAGGAAATAAGGATTCTATTATTGAATTGAATTGTTACAAATAATAATACAAATTATTACTATTTATATACACCTAACTTATACACTAAATAGACTAATAAACTTTAATTAAGTTTGGGTTTAAATTATACAATTTAGATTAGATCTAATATTTCAACATAATTTGATTCAAACACTAGGTTCTATCAATGACTTAATAGTTCATAGTTTGATCAATGACTCATTAACCTTACTGGACCAATGATCAGCCTGATCTTTAAAACACCAAGCCTGATACTTACTTGATTCAAATGTTCTCCACCTATGAAATTTTCACCTCCAACGAGTTCAACAATCTAAACTCTGGATTTGAATTATGTGATTGCTAGATTGTTTCCTCAAATGTAGCTTTAGTTTTTTGGTTGGTACATTTGGCCCTTTTTTCAGAAAACCAAAAGTATCTTCAATAGTTTAGTGCTCACAACATTTGTCCCCTTGTGTGTTAAAAACCGTCTTTCTTTATACTTGTTTGTAAGTGGTGGCTTCGTGATATTGAAGTTGTCTTTCTTGTGTTGTCTAAAATTCAATGTATATTAAGATGAACTTTGTTATTTCCGCTTCGATACTCTCAACCAACAAAAAAAATGTAACATGATTTGGATAGGAAACATGATTTTAACAATCTCCTTACTTGCACCATGTAGAGAAAGATAAAAATAAAAAACAAAAGCTAAAGAAAGAAGTAACAAAAATATAAAAATAAAATAAAGTGTAAAAGTGATTACAAAGAATATGATAAAAGAAAATAAGGATTAGTTAAGTTGAATAAACAATGAGAGGAAGAACTAAAATATTTACTCTTCATTAATTAGCTTGTTTTACATATCCTAAATTTGCAATGATTTCAAAGGATTATGAAATCAATAGTATCATTTAAATGAGTTTTGACAGAGATTTTAGTGGGAGAGTCTTAACTCGAAATATTAATCTATATAGTTGTGCGCGTTGCATATTCAATTTCTCATGTTCTCTTAGGAAAAAAAGTTACAAACAAGTAACAAATTGATCTACAAGCTCATCTAACAAATCATCTAAAATCACTGACTCTAAATCAGCACTTAAACTTTCCAAATCACTTTGTTTTCTCTTTACTTCTTGTAATTGATTTGATCCAACCAATTCATCTCCAACTAGCCTGCAAATTTTACTCCAAATATCTACACATTCATGGTTTTGTCTCTCTTTTTTCTTTGATCCTTCATGCATGTTGCTCTCAACTTTCATCTCTTCTTCATTCATCAAGTTACTATCAGAATGTTGAATATAGAGCTGGTCATTTTCAAGCACTGGTGATAATTTTCTTCTCCAACTCATAGCCACATCACAAAGATCTTCCTCTGCAACAAGATTATGTATAATTGGTTAGTGTTTCAGACTAATCAACATAGTCTCATATTCAACGAGACATGAACAAAGTCAAAGTCGTGAGGATTCTTACACCAAAGCATGTAATATCTAATAACCGCACTGATACGGATTTAAGGTCCACAGAACAGTTAGTAATTAAATAAACCAATGCCATATAATTAAGAAAATGTTAAACTAAAATTAAAGAAACAAACCTGTTCCAGAAACATCACGCTCAAAATCAAAGACAGAAACAGGACTAGAATCTTCTGAACCAATTTCACATTCAACCTTATTTTCCACAAAACATGTTTTTCCTTTCTTTCTCTTCTTCACTTTCTCACCATTACCAACTTCCTTAAACTGAACTTCACCATCATTCACCATCTCCCTCTTGTTTTTCCTCACCTCATTTCTCTCTTCTCTTCTCTTCTTCAAATCAACACAACCCTTTTCTTTTCTTCTCCCTTTAGACTTCAATTTTCTACCCTCACTTCCACTTTCAAAGCTAAACACCAAAAAGTTCTCATTTTCAAGCAATTGAAAACCTTGTGATACATTGTGAACTTTTGAACTTTGTGTTGATTCAAGACATATTCCTATCTTATTCTCTGCCATTGAATCCAAACCCATCAACCTTGCAACTATACCCGAAGGCGAAGAAGTTATAGTACTATTATTTCTAGTGTTAGTTTTGAACTTTTGAACTTTTTCACTTGTGAACTTCGAATGAAACTCTCTAATCCTATGAAAAATGGTTGTGAAACACCCTGCAGATACAGTTTTTGAGCTGCAAAATGTCGGGTCGAAACTAAAAGTTAATGAAGACGAAGGTGATGATGATGATGATGATGATGATGATGATGATGTGAAGAGCTTCATGTTTATAATAACTTAGTAGAAAAAGAAAGAAAGAAAGAAACTGATCAATTTTTCTCTTTTTCTTTTTTCTTTTCTGATAATGAAACTCTTGAATGATAAAAAGCAATGGAAAAATCAAAAGATTTGAATTTGAGTATGATAAAGAAAAGGGTAGCGGGATTTTTATTTGAATGTGAGGAGAAGAAGAAGAATGAGAAGAAGAAGAAAATTTAAAGTTGAAAATTAGAATAGAATGTGATGTACTTTGCTTTTGGTTATTGATAAGTCGTTTTTGTTGATGAATTTGTCGTTTTATTTCCTTGTTTGGATCAAACAAAAGACATGTCTTGGGGTGCGTTAAGGGGACAGTTATACTCTGCCTCCTTTCAAGTTCAAATGTTAGGAAAGGAAAAGAATGAGAAATTTACAACATATCAAGAAGGATTTAAGAAAGGGTCCTATACTACCAAAACAATTACGATAAAACAGTAATGAAATGTGCTAAAATTGTAATAATCATAATCAATGTCATAACACTTATCAATTAAAATTAAAATTGCAAAATTCTTTACACGATGACGACTGATATTTAAATAGTTGTATATCACTAACAAAGTTTATGCAAAAGAAAAATTACAAAATATATGTTTAGTTATACGTTTGAAAGACAGACTCAAGTTTGAAGGATATTCTACTGTAAAAAAAAAAGAAATTATAAAATATAGTTTTTTTTAGTTAAACACGGGTTTTGGTTTTCTAGTGCATATCTAAGCATAATATTCTCTTTGTTTTAAAATGAGTGTTATTTTAGAGAAAAAAATTTGTTTTAAAATTAATGTCATTCTCACTTTTGAATGTAGCAATAATTGCTATTTTTTCAATTGTAACTTTTAATTATTTATTTGTACACTACTTTCAACACATTAATAATACTAATTAATAAAAATATATTATATAACACTCAATTTCATATTATATGTCTAATATTTTTGTGAGTACACATATTATGATTAGATTATAAAAATGATAATAACTTGAAAATTTCATGAATCTCATTTTTATAATGGGTCACCATTATAGTAATAAAAATGAATATTAATTAAATTCAACTGAGTTTAATTTTTGACGGATTCAAAATAATCATTCAAATTCGACAGAAACAATTTTATACTATCCAAATCAAATAATTTGATCAATCTAACATTCGATCTGATCTGATCCATTTATTAAAAAAAAATTAATAAATTGTTTTGAATTGAATGATTCAATTTTCTCCGTCCTATAGTGTGTAGATTGGTTTTCACTTTATTGATTTTAGTGATATGTAAGAAAGAAAGTGAAGATTGGATAGATTACTGTATGGTCTAAGGTAGACAATAGTAATTGTGTAGTATTTTTTGTAGTTTAGTGAGGAGTGAGGAGACAATTGACAGATGGTGTTTTGTTTTTGTTGTGGTCAGAGAAGAGGAGTGACATGATCAAATTCTTTTGGGGTGTGATGCTGAAGATGCTGTCTTTTGCTTGTGCTTCATGTAACTGTCAATATTTTTACCTTTCGGAGATGGAAGGTTAATAATTTGTTATAAGTTTAATTGTAATTTTGACCTCTTTATATTTTGAGTTTTAATCTTTCTATTTTAAGATTTTGTTTTATTGGTCTTTTCATATTAATTTTTTGGAATTTTAATCCTCTATTTCATTTGAGTTTACATTTTTTATGATGTGACAATCAAATTGATGATGTGGTATTATTGAAATTCCACCTCATTTATAATATTTAATATTTTAATAATAATATAAATTATTATACTTATTAAAAAATAAATAATAATTTTAAATTAAATAATATTAAATTTTAAGTTTTTTTTTTTTTGAGAAAAATATATTTTTAAAATTATTATATATAAAATTTTTAATAAAATTAAATTATTCTATATAAATATGTCAGTAAATTAATAAATTGTAAATTGCAAAACAAAAATTTGACCACAATGTTTTCGAACCACTAACATTAATGAAAATAAAATGATTTCTTCCCATCTGAGCCACAATTTTAATCTGTTAATAAATGCAGCTTATTTAATAGTATGTAATTATATACTTTCAAGTAACTTGACCCATTTCCCAGCTATGGACTAACCAGTAATAATGAAAACATTTTCAAAACAAGGCAAACGACTAAAAGCTTATATACATCTTCGACACAAAATAGCATTTACTTAACTTTTCTTTTAATTTTTCAGGAGCATTTTGAAAAAAAAGTATATGATTCTTATATTGGAAGGTGAAAACATTGTTTAGTTACCATGAGTTGCTTTTGTAAAAAATATTACTCAAATAACCTACATTTTCAAAAAATTCCAAACTAAATTATGTTTCAGAAATTTTTTCAATGTACATCACTTTTAAGAGGTGGTATTAATTGGATTAACGTTTGTATATGGTGTTGTCAATCTAATTGGACATGTGTGTATTATTTCAATGATGACGTCAATACAATTGGCACTAGTGTATATTGTGTTATACACACTAGTGTCAATTGAATTGGCGTCTATAGAAGTAATACACACACGCGTCAATTGAGTTGACAACATCATGTGCCGGCGCCACCTCTTAAATCCAATTTTTGTTGTTGTTTGAGAGTGAGATCGATTGGAAATTTTTTTGAAACATGAATTACTTTGAGTTTTTTTTTTAAATGTAGGTTATCTGAGTAAATGAATTAATTTTGTATGCTCCTTTTATTTGTTTGATATAGAAAATAGTTTTATTAGAAGTAGAGAGGAAATACAATTAGTGAAAGCAAATATTTCTAAACTAAGTAAAGCTCAATAATACAGAACTTTGAAATAGTGAGATTTTGCTCCAAACAAATGCACTAAATTATGTACCAAAGGGTTGAATTGAACAATATTTTCACTGTTAGAAGTAATTCATATTCACAAGCATTTGTGTTAGTTAGAAGCAAAAGCTTCTGAAGTTGCGTCTCAGAAATATATTTAACTTTTGGAGTCCTAATTTGGTTGTTAACTTAGTTATTAAGTTTACTTTTGTTATGGCCTACGTGGCAACTTATTTTGTGTATAAAAGCAACATTGTTATTAGGATTTTAGTAAGGTTTTAATATACAATTTCTTCCTCCACAAGTGTGTTGTCACCAATCAATCAAATCAATTACTTCTCCCAACGCGATCTAGTTCTAATGAAGATCAACTCTTCTTCAACCAATTAAAACTTAATTAAGACAACTAACCAATCAAATTTTTTTCTACTAACATAATCAAACTCAAGACATTTTTAAATAAATGATTGTCCGATTACTTTCTACTTGAATACAAAAACTTCGTCTACCATTTGTAACACGGTGGGAGAACTGACTTGGTGTGTTTTGCGTTTGATCGAAATTGTGCGGATAGCAAGAGTCGCCACCTACTTTTCTTTTATCCAAAAGGAAAGGCTGAAAAGAACAGGAAAGACCTTTAGAAATGTTTTCTTGAGTTCGGGGGATAGATTATGAAAAGGGAAGGTATTAGCACCCTTTTTCAACTGTAATTATCTACGGGCTCTTAGTTGCTTGCTAGATCACTTGCTTTTGTTTGAAAATGTGCTTGTGGTGTGGGTTTTGAAAGTATTTTAAAATGTCTTTGTAATGGTTCTCGTTTCTATAAGAACTCGTACAAAGTGTTGTCTTTTAAAAATGTTTCAAAGATGAGAGTGTTGGTGTATAAAATGTTTTTGTTGTGAGCAAGCGAGCAACTAGGAGCAACCTACCTACTCAAAAGGTCTAAGATGTTCTTTTTCCCCTCCTTTAGATGTTGCTATCTTACTATCGTTTTGGTAAGAATCCCCATCGTTGAATGTGAAGGGACGGGCGCGGGACGTTTGTATAGTCATAGAAGGCAACTCATGGACGTTTTAGCAATGTTGTTTTAGGGACTAGATCGTTTACCGAAGGCAACATTAAGGTTCATCGAGCGACTACGATCTTTTATCGAGGGTCTTTGCCAAAACGCCCATATTTGAGGGACATGACTATTTTCCGATAAGCAACAAAATAGGATTACTCTAAGGGTGCTAGTGTGCAAGTGTGTTTGAGTTTTATGCATTTAGTCTTGATTAGGATTATCTATTTGTTGATTTTATGTCTTGTCATACACACCCTAATTACTAGCATTTATGTTTGAAAGCAATAAACTGCGGAAATGTAAAGGTCCTACACTATTACATCATTTAGGGATGAGGGTACAAATTTATAAATGGGGGGTTGCAAGAATTTAAATCCTAATTAACTATTACAACCATATTGAAATGTATAATGCAAGAAAGAAAAAGGACTTGTTTAGATAATAATTTTTTTGTCTTTAATGAATTAAGAAAAAGAAATAAATTAATTAATAAAGAGAAAATGTTTTTATGTCTTTTTTTTTATATTAATAAAAAGGGATTAATATTGAAAATAATTAAAAAAAAAGGGAATAATGAGATAGAATTAGCATGCTGCTGAAAGCAAAACAAAGGGGATCCAAAGTTCTGATGTCGGGCTCGCTGTGGTTCAGAAAGAAACGTCAGAAGTTCTGGATTAATACACTCCGAGGTCCTACAAGAAACGTTAGAGGGAAAACACAAAAGTTATGGGTTGCTATGTGCTGATCTTCTGAATGTTAGAACACTGAGAAAGTCTTAGAAGTTGTGTGTATTAAAACAATGAGGAGAACTCAGAAGTTTTGTGTTATGCTAAAGCAGTAAGTGAAAGTCATAAGTTCAGTGTGTTTAAATAGTTATAAAATCATAGAAGTTCTGTGTATTAAAACAGTGAGGAGAACCCAGAAGTTCTGTGTGACATTTCAACTCCTTCCTTACATTAATCAGCACATCAACAACTTATTCAGTTCTTAACAAACAGCAAATCAGAAAGATGAAAAACACAACAGTTTATAGAAGTTCTAATCCTAATTCTAAATCTAGCTTTATTCAAGAAGTTCTGATCCACAGTTTTTTTTACTTATGCAATGATATGGACA